TGTTGTTATTGACTTCTTTTTCAATGGGTTTGAATGAGGGCAATATTTCTAAAAATTTTGGATCGATGGTCACACCTAGGAACATTCTCACATTCCTTGCCCTTAACATGCTTGGACTTTCAATGCGCAAATTTTTAGTTGGTCTCGAGTCATCCATTTCTGGTTGGTCCTTCATTTTGAATATGAACATTTAATATAACAAAAATGAACATTTTCCCACTTTCCATTTCCCAACACAATAAGCCCAACAACACCCACACAATCCGTTAAATTAAATCTGAATAAACCCCACCAATTTTTTTTGTCATCGTCTTCCTCCAAATCCACCACCATTTTCTCTCTCCAAACCTTCAAAGTCATCCTAAAATGGCGGCAGCACTACGAGCCACATCCTCCGCCATATCACGAGCAATCACCTCCAGAACTCCGCCATTGAATGGCGGAGCTCGGTGGTCATCGTCGTTGATGTGGTGGGGTCATGTGGATCCGGCACCTAAAGACCCTATTCTTGGTGTTACCGAAGCTCTCTTGGCCGATCCTTCTCCTAACAAAGTCAATGTTTATTTTATACGAAAAAACATTATACTGCATGAAAATGAACATTTATTTTATCATAATGAACATCATATTGCATGAAAATGAACATTTAATTATTAAGAAATACAAAATTATTGTAAAGTATGTTCAATTAGAAAATGTTCATTTTTGTTATACTAAATGTTCATTTCTGAACGAGGGACCATGAATATGTACCCGGTCTCGAGACCACCCTTCAACAACTGCTTTCAATGAACCGGGTTGATCTTGCACCTAATGATATAAACCCACCCCATTTCCACCCACGATCAAGCGAGAGTGGAGTGGTGATCACAAGAAAAGTTCTACTTGGTTTTGTTTTTTTTTTTTTTTTTTTCTTGGGGTGTTTAGAGAGCCACAAAGGCGGGGGTGAGAATCAATCTCAGAATTTCCTGAAATCGAGAGGGAAGCTCTAACCACTTGAGCTATCTCTCACTCTCAGTTCTAGTTGATTTTGTGACTACAAGAAACGTTTACTACTCAAAGGCGTTGTTTATAGACCAAATATTTGCCGTTGTCATAGAATTTGTTTATTTTCAGAAGAATGTGGGGGCTTAAGAAAGTAGAGATAATGACAACTTTCAATAGCCAGAATCTTGGTGCGGTGATTTCATCCACAACTCTAGTTGTCGCCCAACCTTCAATTTCAGATCATGTTCTAACCCAAACTTTCCAAGTTGATTCAATTGTTGTCCATAGTAAAGAATCCAAATGTTTATAAAAAATTTAGTATGAAGATCATTTCCAAAAAAAAAAAAAGAAAAAAAAAAGAAAAAAAAAAAAAAAAAAAAAACACTACCCGTATGAAGATTCTCTTTAGTCACAGTAATTTATTTTATAAATGTCTTAGTGGCATTGACATAATCTATTTTGGGTTATCGGAACACACGAGAAACAAAACCCAAAACCACAAACCAGTTTCACACCCCTAGTTTACTCAAAACCAGTCCCTCTTTACTCCCTTAGGCGGGCCACCGGCGATCGAAGTAGGCGGCCTCCCTTCCCGATCATCGGCGAGCCCTTTGTTTTCCGGCTCACCCAGATCGCGGGAGATCGGAGTAGCCGATCTGTTGTCCTCACCATCCCCCTGCTGTAACACCCCAATAATTCTCTCTTTAAAACCTGTATTAAACTGTAAATACTTTTAATAACCTGTGAGAGAATTACTGGCGTGCTACCGCCACGTGTTCAAACGTTAAGGCTAGTATCAGAAATCAGCAGCGGAAAACTAACTTAGTTTTAAAAAAGAATATAAGTTTCAAAACTAAAAGTCAAAACTCAATTTAGTCTTACAAGTTGGAACCATAACGGCCCTTATTCAAAATCCAGTAAAATAGGAAGTAAATGGAATTAGAACCAAAATAAAATTCAATCTATGATATAAAATAAGCTAAGTGATTAACCAACGCTACACTCAAATCTCATCACCCTGATGCAAATCAGTTTATGCAAAAACCTGTGATTAATCTGCTCCCCAATATTACAAGTGTAAGAATTGGATCATTACAGGGTCATTGAAGGAGAAGGCTATGACCAAGAGAAACACACAAAAGCACGCAATCAGCAACGCTGAGTACATACAAGCTACGAAATATAATAAAGAGTCTTAGCATGATACTATCAAGCATTCCATACACTCACAATATAATCATTGACTCGAACACATGATTCAATTGTTACTGATTACAAAGTTTCTCTAAATAGTATTGATCACTTCATTAATTTAATTGGATTAAGCAATAGATCGGGTTGTCCCCCTGTGCTCCGGAACATTAAATAAGAAAACCCTATGCCTCTTTTCGGAAGACATTAATAAACATCCAATGGCAGACGGGCGCGACTCCGTGGTCATAGCTAGTATGAGATCTCATCTAACTCATTATAATTTTAAAAGAATTTAAAACAAGAGACTCGTAGATCAGACGAACTCTGAAAAGTGCACGGCTAATACCCCGTGAACCCCAACCCCTGTTTGTCATTACTCTAGATGTGCACAAATCTAGAGTTTTATTGTTCATCCTTCTTGCACTTTACGTGATTTACTAGTTTAAATTTGGTGATGACTCATATGCAAACAACACAACCAATCATACATCGATCATTCAAATCATTCAAGTTTCCAATTTAATTCTTAATTTATTAGTGACAAACAACATTTATTATTGAATCCTTTAACTACCTCGGTGTATAAACACCTTAAGTGCATAAGGCACCTCATATCCACAATCTTGTCTTATAAGACTTTAACTCTACCTTTACTCATTCCATTTCAATACAGATGAATAAGTAATTAAAATGATTCATTCCATATGTATATATACTTGTATCTTGCTTCTAAGCTCTCTTTGCAAAATATTGCATAAATAATGCTCAATAGGAAACATCAATGCAATTTCTCATACATGAATTAAAGCAATCATCACATTTATCAACAATCAACTTATTACCAAACAATTTCAACCAATCCACAAGTCTGCTAACATGATTCTACGTCTTTCCAAGTCCTTAAACATGCTTCTAAAATCAAGGTTCTTCGTATACTTGTACGTACCTTGAGTGCGCGAATTGATTGGCCACTTTAAGGCTAGAAGTCACCCTCTACGAAGTCCTCTCCTAGACAGAACAACAATAGCTCAATTAATACCCAAGCAACATATATTACAGCAATACTAAACTATTTTAAAATCCTTTAAATCATTGAAATAATGCCCTTAAGTTATTCCCAATAGCCAAAGTTAATAATTTAGTACTTGAACTATGAGTTTATATGCTAAAAATCATAAAAGTATAGCTTATAGCATAAAATTTCAACACTTTAAAGTAAAATTATAAATCTGAAAATTTAGTTTAAAATCATAAAACCGCATAAACGTTTTCATTTGAAATAATCGTTATATAGCACGTTAGTATGTTGAGATCTTGAAGATCCATCATAAAACCATGATTTAAAACTATTTAAACTAAGATTAAAATCTGAAAATTTAATTTAATAGTAAAGTGTATGAATACAACAATCTAAACTTGAAATATATAATTATAATTTAATTAGTTTCATAAAAACTCAATTAAACCTTCGATAAAAATAAAAAACTGCACAAAAACCATACTTAGAAGCTGAATTTGGCCAGGAGAGGATGGTGCTTACTACCTTAGGTAGTGAGTTTTGATTAAAGCATCGTTTACACACGAAAAACACTATTTTTTTTGCGAAAATCAGACGAGTTACAGTCAAAACGCGATTAAAACGTGATTAAGAAAATTTTCGAATGGAAATTCAGAAATTAGTTACGAAAAATTAAGAACTTGCTGTTGAATTAAACATCATCATAGTCATAGCAAAATCACAACAAAATCATGCTCAAATTAAACAACTTTAGCAACACGTTTTTAAGCTCTAAAACCATGAAAATCAAGTTTTAAACCCTAATTTCACAAATTATGAAATCTGAAAATTAATTATATGCTTAACATATCATAAACTCGATAAATTTGCAATCTTTCACAACTCAAAAACATAATCAAACTATAATAATTGTTAATCAACGAAAAATTCATGTAAAGATTAAAGCTTTGAAGAATTTAAACAAGAAAAGAGAGGAAGATAGAAGAGAAGGGGGAAATGGAGGAAACCGGCGGCAGCAGCAGGGTTGAGGGCAGCGGCGAGGGTCGCCGGCGGCACTGCGGTGGTGGGTTACGGCTGAGGCAGCAGCAGCGCAACCGAGGAAGCAGAAAATTTTTATTTTTTTATTTTTTTTTTGTTTGTGAGTCGTGAAAGGAGAAGAAGGGAGCAAGGGAAAGGGAGTAATAAGGGGAAGCAGTAGAAGGCAATATACGAGGGTTTTGAAAAGGGGAAATAAGGAGCAAGTTTCCTTAATTATAAATGTGAATGAGGAGAAATAAGGGGTAAGTTTACTTAATTGAAATGGAAGTATGGGTTTAAAAATTCTTGTTTTTATTTTTGTGAAATCTTCCCAAAAATATTTTTGCATAAATATAAAATTATTAAAAATATTCGTATACATAAAAATATATAATTATTATTTACTAAGAAAAATATGGGGGATTACACCTGCCGTTTCTTGCCAGTTTTCGTTCGGCTACAGCTTCGGTCTTTGATATCGGGTCTTGACTAAGTGGTGTTAGCAACTGGAGGTGGATTTCATGGTGGTCCAATTACCCACTCCGACGTTGATGTTGTGATTTAATTATCACAATTGACCTCTCCGTACTTCAGCTAGTAGTTTCTACTTTTCTTTGTGTGGCTTCCTAGTTTCATTTAGTGTTAGTTTGTGGCGGAGTCTTGGTTGCTACAGGCCCGCTCACCGTTATTGGTTGCTCTTTGTTGTCGTCCCTTCGTGGGTTTGGTCATGTGTTTCTCTTTGTGTTTTGTTTCTCAACTCCTCTTTCGCTTTAGAATTTTTGTTATGGACTGCCGAAAACTACGTGACGCCCTTGTGCATTTTCACTTGAACGATGATTTTTACGAAAGCATCGTCAACTTCGTTAAGAACAATTGTCCCCGAGATATCCTCAATCACGCAAAGATATTTAAAGAGGAGGGCAATGTTTACTTCAAGAAAGGTGAAGTTGTTCTTGCCGGGGCTAAGTATGATAGAGGACTGAAACTCTTGTGTTTTGTACTACCAAGAAATGAAGATGATAGTGTTTTTCTAAGGACTCTTGCCATATCCCTTGAGTTGAACCTCGCAGCTTGCGCCCTAAAGCTTCGGGATTATGAACAAACTAAGGAGCTATGCTCGCTTGTCATTATACTTGATGATAACAACACTAAAGCCCTCTATAGAAGGGCTTTAGCCGAAATCAAGTTCTTCCAACTTGAAGAGGCTTTTGAAGACCTTAGCAAAGCAGTTAAGGCAGAGCCTAACAATCAGGACATCAGCCGTGAATTGGAAAAGGTGGAGGGCCTAAGAAGTAAAGCTAGCAAGCTCAAGGACAAGAGAGTCACTGAAGATTCCAACCTGTCACATGTCATCCTCAACAAAAAGGGGAAGATTAGCAAGGCTGCAATCTAACAAGTTGTCTAGGAGTGATGTTTAGAGTGATGTCACGGAATTACCCAACATGGATGCTGCTAGTGAGATGGTGGTAGAGAACCTTATCCCTATAAATACGATCTTTCTCTCTTTTGTAAAGGGGGACGGTGAGGCTACCAGCTCCCCAAACAACCAGGATTCAAGGCAAGTTAATGTTAAGGGATCGAGGAAAATCCATACTTTCCTCAATAGATCGAGAGAAAATCAGTCCCTTAAGATTTCAGATGTGTCTTATTCGGACTTGAGTCAAGGGAAAACCTTGAGTTTCTTCAAACATTCTACTGTTTCATGGATGACTGTACGAGTGAAGGAAAAGACCACTCATGATGGACATTTCGATTCTCACAAGGCAAAGGACTCTAAATTTTCTGAAACCTTGTTCATGCCCATTATGTAGGTTGGGCCGAAAAAGAGGGATCGCGTCAAGATAAGCCAAAAGAGAAAGGCCAAGCAAGCTCTGGGCACCGCCGTGGTCAGCCATATTGTTGGACTTCCCAAGCCCAACACAGCTGCCGTCGAGAAGTTAGTAATCATACATCTACTGGCCTAACTTCTAGCAACAATGAAGGTTCAAGTATTGAGGAAGGGAGTGAGGTTCCTGCGAGAGATTTAACTACCACTGATAATGCTGATGTGAAATCCGTAGGTTCTAATGAGGAAGACCCCATGCTTATCACACGTCTTTTTTTTTTTTACTAACAAAGCTTTTTGAATGGAAAAAGCTAGAGAGAGAAAACGCTCCAAGCGTGCTTCTTTAATCCTGAGCTCGGTTTTGCGGTAATGGTGGCTATTTTTGGTGGTCTTCTTCACTGAAATAGCTTGCATGGCTAGGAAAAAGAAGCAATCCACTCTTACTCCTATTAAAATCTCTACTGAAATAATTGAAACTTTGTTTACTCCTGCTGCGATTGGATTTTCGACATTGAAGGAATCAATCGATGAAGGTAATGAGCCGATTACCCCATCTCCTGGCCTTGTTCATCCATCAGGCAAGATCACTAGGAGGGATGCAAAACTTCTCACCCTTAATTTTGGCTCTATCGCCTCGAAGTCGAATGTAACAGTAACTCCTGGTACAGTTCTATTCCATTTAGGAATGGCTGGGGTTCAGATACGGTAATTTCTAACCCAGCTCTCCTTGGTTCCGTGAATGTTTTGCCTTCGAATATGGGTTTATCTAACTCTATTGTTGATGTTGATGCAATTTCTGACGATAATATCAATGGTGCTAAAATTTTGTCAAGGCCTGGAATCATTCGAGTTCAAGGAAGGGGGTAAATAGTGAGTCTCGGAATGATAATTCTATGAATGATGATAGTAATGTGAAAGGCACGAATGTTGTGTTTTTTGGGAAATTGACTGCTAAGGGAGCAACTCTTCAATTTGTTGTTCCTCAGATTAAAAATGGGAAATCGGTTGTTATGTTGCCTGCTGCAGAGCTAGATGAGGGCTCCAAGAAATGGAGTAATGCTGTTATTATATATGTGGTTGGGTTCCAGCCTACTATTGCTCGGTATTTTGCTCAACAATGGAGCTCCTTCTGTAAACCGGAAATTTTCTAGCATGATGATGGTTACTTCATCATGTGTCTGTCTTCTTGTAAAGAGGTGAATGAGGTGTTGTGTGCTGGCCCCCATATGGTGAATGGTAGGCCTATGATAGTTAAGCCATGGTCTGCTAATTTTGATTTTAGTGCTGAAGTCTTACGAGTTGTGCCTTTGTGGGTGAAATTTCCAAACCCCCCTCTTAATTGTTGGGGAGTTGAGACTTTGAGCAGAATTGGCAGCCTTATTGGGGTTCCAATATGTGCCGATGAATGCACATCTAGACCGTTAAGGGTGTCCTTTGCTAGGATCCTTATAGAGGTGGATGTTACTAAACCTCTTCCGAAGTCTGTTTGGGTTGAAAGCCCGAATGGTGAGATTGTGGAATTAAAAATGGAGTTCGAATGGGTGCCTCCTTTTTGTGATAAATGTAATAAGGTTGGACATTGATGTGTGGAAATGATGGATGCTACTAAGATTGAAATAGCTAACCAATTCCTACACAGGCTACGCATATTTCTGGCAGCAAAAGAAGGTATGGGTGCAAAAGAGGAAAGAAAAAGTTCGAGTGCTGTGACAAAAAAGAGGGGAAGTTGGTGTTTGGCATACTGTGAACAAGAAAGGTAAAGGGATTGCTAATCCTGAACTCTCTCATAGTCCTAATTCCTTTGATGTGTTGCAGAATGTAAGTGAGAAGGAGGGTGATCACTTGGTGGGTCCTAGCGGGGGATGGCCCCCTTCGGGTCAATGATTATTGCTAGATGGAATGTAAGGGGTGTTAATGACCCTGATAAAGTTGCTGATGTTAAGCAACTTATCTTGAAGAATAATTGTGATGTGATTGGTATTCTTGAGACAGAAGTGAAGGAGAAGAAAAGCAAAGCTCTTCAAAGGAAAATTCATGCTGGGTTTTCTTGGTTCTCAAATTATGACTTTTCTCCTAAAAGGAGAATTTGGATTGGTTAGAGGGAAGACCGAATCTCTGTGGATGTTATTCAGGCTCATGAGCAGTTTGTTCATTGTACTCTTTCTTCTATAGAGTCTCAGAGGCAAATTCTTTGTACTTTTGTTTATGGGCTTCATTCTATTCATGACAGGAAGATGTTGTGGGAGGGGGTTTCAAGGTTGGGGCCCTTTTCTATTCCCTAGTTATGTTCTGGTGACTTTAATTTTGTGTTACATGATGAGGATCAGGTTAATGGAAGCCTGGTCTCTGATTATGAAACTAGGGAATTTCGAAGGTTCTTGGAAGTTGTGGAGTTGGTTGAAATTAAGAGTAAAGGTGCTTTTTACTCTTGGTCTAACAAGTCTCACACCGGGGTTCGCACTCAATCTAGAATTGATAGGGGGCTTGTGAATCTAGAGTGGTTGGAACAGTTTGGTAATGTTGAGGCCATGTATTTGCCTCCTTCTCTTTCGGACCACTCTCCTTTACTCTATGAGGTTTTCCCTTCTCTCCCTGGGAAAGGAAAACCTTTTCGGTTTTTGAACTGTATGCTCACCCATGATGATTTTCAAAAATGTGTTCAGGATGCTTGGCATTTTCAATCTCCGAAGAGCAAAATGATTAGAGTTTAGTTGAAACTTAAGCAAGTTAAAACTAGACTCAAGGAGCTGAACTCTAGATCCTTTGGGAATGTTGAGGGGAAAATTGATCAAGCTTCGGATGAGCTTTGTCACATTCAAAGCCAACTTGCTGTGAACTTTAATGATTCTGAGTTGCTAGTTCGGGAAGATGAGGCTATTCAAAAGCTTAAGTATTGGAGGAATGTTCAAGAGAGCATTTGGAAGCAAAAATCTAGAGTTGAATGGGTTAAGCTTGGAGATTCGAATTCCAAATACTTTTTTTCCTGTGATGAAGCATAGGTAAGCAAGGAATAGAATTGACTCTCTTCTCAATGTGCACCATGTTCTGCTTCGTAACCTTTCAGATATTGAGCAGGAGATCCTTGATTTTTACAAGTCTCTGTTAGGCTCTTGTTCTAGTTCTTTGCCTAGTGTTGATTTGGCTATTTTGAGGTCTAGTAAACAGCTTTCTCCCTCTTCTCAGCATTTCTTGATTACTCCTGTTTCTTGTGATGAGATTCATCAGGCCCTTAAAGGTATATCTAAAGATAAAGCTCCTGGTATTGATGGTTTTAATGCCAAATTCTTTAAGCATGCTTGGGAGGTTATTGAGTTCTTTGCCACTGGTGTGATGCCCTTTCAGTGGAATTGCGGCTACCTTGGTGCCCAAAGTCCTTAATGCTTCTTATGTGAAAGATTTTAGACCCATTGCTTGTTGCTCTGTTTTGTATAAAATTGTGTCTAGAATCATAACTGAAAGACTTGGGCGAGTCATTGGTAAGGTTGTGGATGATATTGGTGATAATATCCTTTTGGCCATTGAGTTGATAAAAGGATGCACTCACAAGTTCGTCTCTCCTAGGTGCATGATTAAAGTGGACCTCAAAAAAGCCTATGATTCTGAGTGGGGTTTCCTTGAGGTTGTTCTTTGTGAGCTTGGTTTTCCTAGCTTGTTTATTAAGTAGATTCTTGGGTGCATCACTACGGTCTCTTTTTCTATTCTCATCAATGGTGCTACTTCGAAGCCTTTTAAAGCTAAGAAGGGCTTGAGGCAAGGTGATCCTTTGTCTCCCTTCTTATTTGCTATCAGGGTGCCTTCATGATTTGTGCTCTAATCCTAACTTCAATTTTCACCCAAGATGTGAAAAGTTCAAGTTTACGCACCTTATGTTTGTTGATGACCTCTTGTTGTTTGCTAGGGGTGACTTGACTTCGCTTTAGATTTTGATGCAAGCCTTTATGAAGTTCTCTCATGCTTCTGGTCTTTCGACTAATTTGGATAAAAGTGAGTTTTTTTGGTGGAGTTTTTGATGATGAAAAGGCTCTTTTTCTCCGACTCCTTGGCATGAGTGTTGGTTGTATTCCTTTCCAGTATTTGGATGTGCCCCTTTCTTCAAAAAAAAGCTCTATGTTCTTCAATGTAGGCCCTTGGTTGCCAAAATAACTTCAAGGATTGATAGTTGGGCGGTGAGGTTTTAGTCTTATGCTGGGCGGCTGCAGCTTATTCGGAGTGTCTTGTTTGGTATGCAAACCTATTGGTCTCAAATCTTTATTCTTCCTAAGAAAATCATAAAAGAGATTGAGGCTAGATTTCGGTTCTTTTTGTGGTCCGGGAATTCTAATCTTACAAAAAAAGCTCTAGTGTCTTGGAAACAATTATGTCTTCCTAAGGCAAGTGGAGGCTGGAATATTCTTTCTTTAGAGGATTGAAACATTGATGCGGTTTGTAAGAATCTGTGAGACCTTTATAATAAGACTGAAAATCTTTCGGTGAGATGGGTTCATATCTATTCTTTCAGGAATAAAGATATTTGGACTACTTCTCTTCCTCAAAAATGCTCATGGGTATTAAAGAAGATTCTCAAGTGTAAAGAGGTTATTGAAAATTGTGGATGGGATGTTGTGAAGCAAAATGGCAAAGTTCAAATCAAGAAGATCTATAGTTCTATTAGACAACAATGTCCCAAAGTGAGTTGGGAGAGGCTTGTGTGCAACAATAAAGCTTCTCCTAAGAGTGTTTTCATTTTGTGGTTGGCTATCTTGAATCGGATGCTAACCAAAGATAGGTAGATTTCTTGGAGGATAAATTGTGATCCTGTGTGCTTGCTTTGTTTAAGTGAGCCCGAGAGTGTTCAACACCTTTTCTTCGGGTGTCCTTATTTTAGCAATATTTGGCAGAAGGTGCTTGATTTGCTTCATATTAGTAAGTCTATTCAAAGCTTTCAATTGGAGGTTGATTAGGCCTTATTGTAAGAAAGCGGATGAGAGGAAGAACTTATTCTTAATGTTTTTTGCTGAAACGGTCTATAGCATTTGGATTCAACGTAACTCAACCATGTTTAATGGTTCTTGTGTCGATGCTAATTCCGAGTTTCGGAATATTGTGTTTAGAGTTGTTTGTAGATGCTCAGAAGGAGCTCGGAAATATCTCATGACCTGCTGCTAGTTTGAGCTGCTGCTGTGGCTTTTGTTGGGTTATGTGTTGCTAGCTGTTGCTATTGCTTTGTTCCCTGCTACTGCTGTTGTTCAGTTTCAATGCGCTGGGTTGGTTATCAGTAGTTGGTTTTTGGTTGTTGTTGCTGTTTAGTTTGTTATTGTTGTGGCTGCTGCCTTCTGGCTTGCTGCTTCTGTTCTGTTCTTGGCTGCTGATGTAATATTGCTGTTTCTTGCTTCTGGTTTCAGAGTTTTTTGCTGCTTTCTGATGTTGCTAGCTATTGTTATTGCTTTATGGCCTGTAGTTGTTGCTTGCTGTTATGTGCAGCTGTAGCTGGGTGTGCAGGCTGGTTTTTCTCTGTTTCAGGCTGCTGTTTGATGCTGGTTCAGGCTGGGATGCTGCCTGTCTTGCTGTGTGATGTTGCTGTCTCTGGTTTCTGTTGCTGGGTTCTGGTTTGTGGCTGCTGATGTTGTTTCTGTATGCTGATACTGTTTCAGTATGCTGTTACTGTTTCTGCAGGCTGCTGCTGTTTCTGCATGCAGTTGTTGTTATTGTTGGCCGCTGCTGTTTCTGCATGCTGTTGTTGTTGCTGTTTCGGTATATTGACCTCTATTTTTTCTTTTCTTTTTGATGGCCTTTTCTTTGAGAGTTTTTGTGTTTGTCGTTATCCTGTTTCTGTGGTTTTGGGTAATCCTCCTAGAGGGTAGCTCTTTTCCACTGAGTTCAAAAGAGCCGGGTTTGGTCCAAGGTTCTTTGGAACCCTTCCTAGAAGGTGGCCTTTGGGTCTTGGTCCTTGGCTGGTGGTTGTGTGCCCATAGGGGCTCTTGGTGTATTGGAGTTTAGGCCTTTGGGCTTTTGTATTCTTGTTTGCTGCTTTGCAACTCCTTTTGGTAATAATATTCTCTATTTACCAAAAAAAAAAAAAAAAAAAAAAAAAATCATTTTTTTAAAAAAAAAAAAGGGAAAGAAACCCTGAGCACTATAGCTAGCCAATGGAAACCCAAGCACGAGGCACCTTTCGAATAAAGCAGACGAAAAGGTCGATAGCAGCCTGAATTTCCCAAGACAACCAAAAAGCAAATATATCAACCGAGCAGGATCCCCCAAGGAAGAGCAGTCAGTATATATAGCAATTTTACGAAACACTTGCCGCTGGGCCAAAAACAAGCTTGGAACTCAGCTTGCAAAGCAGACACAGCCAGGAAAGCCCGAGACCCACCTCCCAAAACCGAAGAAGAATGAAGCTCACGAAAAGATCCATCCGCCCCAGCACTGTTATCTGATATCACAATAGTTGAATGTGAGAACATCGACAGCTGCCAAAGAAATGTCACCCTTTACATAAGAAGAAAGGCAATTTAAGACTGTAATACGAGACTTGGCCTTTTAAAGTTTAGTCTAAGAGCAACTCCAATGCATATAATTTAGTAGACTATATTTTAACCAATTAAGGTTTGTAGTATGAGAGGTAAGGCATTATAACCAATTAAGGTTTGTTCAACATAATTGTATTGGTTAGACAAATATTCGACGCTTTTAGCAACCTAGGACACTTCAGTCTTAGCATCGTAGTTACTAGTTAAAAGGTCATACAAAGGCTGATGGTTAAATGAAACTAAAAACAAAATTAAACACTAATCAAACGGTAGAAATAGGCAAAATTCCCTGACTATATTATACGAACCAGACACCAGTCAAATACAAAGTATTTTGTTTCTTTACCAACCAAGCGCAGGCATGAACGCCTTCTGAGATTAATTTCATTCTATTTAAAACTAGATTTACATAAAGTTAATAGTTTCACTTTACTAAGTTTATACAGTACTAGGGTGAAAATCAGCTATAAAGTGATGTCAAAATTGAATTCATGGTTCACTATAGAACTTAATTCACTAATAAACATCTTCATGTTTGGTAGCTATAGGGTGATAGTACATGTCATATGTAAAAATGCATGTATTTCTAGTGAGGGAAAACAAGGAGAAAAGAAGAGAAAGGAACCAGTTCAATAATTTAATGCACAAAAACTCGACTTCTGTACAGGAGATGGATGTGGCTGAAAGCCTTCATTATAACACCAATCATCAAATCCCTTCAGTGAGTGCAAAGATCCGGCCAGCAAAAGTTGATGGCAATCTTGAAATGGCTTCTTCAATTTCCTGCCAAAGCTGCATAATTAATAGCTGCATTTTGGCATCTAAATAGACAAAAATTACAGTGAGTGATAGTACACATATTGGCAGAGCAGTAACACAGCAGTAGAATTCGATTTAAGGGATCAGAAGATGTAACCCAGCTAAAGTTACTTTGCAATTTTAGGTACAGAATTAAGAATAACTTTAATAAATGGAGCAAATGAATTTTAAAATAAATGGCTAAGCAAAGGCGAAACTGAGGTACTCTGTAACATTCAACGAGAGAGAACTAGTTAATTTTTGCTCCTAAGTGAAGATCCAAATAATTTCTCCCTCCTTATCTCCATATTTGGAGGCATCAAGATCAGCTCTTCTCCTGTAATGGGCCAGAATTTTCATCCAAGCACATCAGATGCCATTTATTATAGCTAGAACCCTCAAGTTCTTCCTCAAGTTCTTCTAGTATGCCAAGCCAGAAACATGACAATATCCTCACTCAGATGCCCTAGAACTAAGGAAGGAAACATAAAAGATATTCCCTGGGGATTCTTCAGCACAATTAGCACAGCATAATTATTTTATACAAAAACAATTTCTCTAACCCAAATATAATCTTCTATGCACAGAAAGACCAGCAAAGGATTCTTCGACACCTTTTTTTAAACGAGAATAATTTTTCTGATAAAACATAATCTTCTCTGCACAGAAAACCAAGCAATAAAAAATACACACAATAATTATCAATCTTTTGCTCCAACTACCCACACTGCCACCTTAATCCTTCACCTCTAAAAAAGTAGAAAATATATAAGCCATTCAATCTATAAATTACCTTTAATTTTGCAAGGCAAGCACGACCATCAACCAACACTACCAACAAACTCATCTCCTGATTGAAGCAACTTATTTCATTACCAGGAAATTAGGAATTCCCCTACTTCATCTCAACATTACTCACCATCCCATTTGAATTTGTGAATTTGGGAAAGGAGAGATTAGTATACCCAATTACTTATATAGATCAATATTATGTAATCAGCTTCAAAACAGAAATCAACTTCAGGAGTTGGCATAAATTGGACATCTAAAAAACACCTCCACATAAATGCTGCTCGACAAATCAGTTCCATTTAGCTTCATTAGCTGCTATCTAAATATGATGGTGCAAGGCATCATATTGTAATAGACTGACCTAAGGAGGGGTAGTATGGGTATTCTAGTAATATTACTTTACTAGGTTAATAGTCTTTAGTATAAATAGAGAGGGAGGGGAAAGAAAATAGTAGGCAGAATTTTAGAGTAAATCCTTAAGAAAGTTGTGACCTCAAGTCACTATATGGAGAGTTGTGACCTCAAGTCACCATAGAGCTTGATAGGCAAAATCTATCGAGTGTGTAGACCATAGTTTTGTTAATTAAAGCCTCAAGCTTTCTTCTCTATTTTTACTGTTTTATTGCATGTTTATAATAACTAATCTTGCATATGTTCATGAGAACATGACGGCAAAAAGTAATATGTAAAGGGCAGATATAATCAGGTGTAGGATCTGCTAAGTGAACAAGGATGAAAACCACAATTGTTAACAAAGAAGAATTGACAAAAGGAAGCAAAAGATCCAAATATCCAAGTTATCTCCTATCTGCCATGCACTTATTCCAGTGAATATACATCCATATGCAAAAACAATAAATCAAAGAATAAACAATTCCACAGCCACTAGAAAGTAAAAACAAGGCCGGATATTTAAATCTCTTACCTCTATGAAGTATCTTGCAGAAAAGTGGATCAGAAGAATTGCCTTATTCTGAAACTTATCAGCATACTTTACAACCTGCATGATGGTCTATAAGAAAATGCACCATCATTATATAAACATCAGATACAAAAGGATAAAAAAGAACCTCATCCAGATGTGTATGTCCATAATCTCTTGCATGCACCACGTCAACTGCTTTGTCTAAGAAGGTGCACTGCATGACAACATAAAAGACAGAACATGCCTATTTAATCACCTGAATCTCAAGGAGAAACACAGCCATTTTTCTCCTAAGAAGCTACCGGTGAAGAGAGGAAATTGAGAGCAAAACAGTAGTTGATAGAGAATTCCAGCAATCTTAGACATACAAGTACTACAAGGTCCACAACCCACTGAAGTCCCTGCCATAATGCCGATAATGTGTTTGGGGCTTTGTGCATGAGGAAGGATAAGATGATTACAGTTCTAAACCCAAAAACAACTTCTAGAATTAACTTTGAAGTTGTGGTGAGCAAAATCCAGCACTATTAATAAGCTTATGCTATGCACATCTAGCAAACTTACTGAACAATATTCCAAACTCAACACTCTCTAAACACAAAAACTTTTGTTGGGAGGAAGGGAACTTTTGGTTTTAAAATAGTACTAACAACAGAAGAGGTTGTGCCATTTCCATAACCGTTCACTTTCAAGTTCCAACTAGTGTTCCCCTGCTAAAACTCTTCAACCAAGGACATCAAACAGAGAAAACTCGAGAACCCTTTCTAAATTTGAGAATTCCCCTAATACCTATTCATAAGTGTCTATCCAAGAGTTCTAAGACTGAAAGTGTTCCTTCTACCCCGTAAAACTTGTAATAAAAGCATGATAACGCAAGAGAGAGTTTATAAAGCAGGTCACATGGATCATACATCACAATCATCGACACAAACATCATATACATCTGTTTTGTAGATTGAACAACCAGAAATTCCTCAAACAAATCAACGAAGAAGGCAGAAGCTCAAATAAACTAAACTTATCAAGAAACATCATTGATCGAACAAGTAACAGTCGATAAATAAATCTGAAAAATCAAGCGCTCATAAAGTGAGTTACCTCCATCACAAGAATCTTTGCCCTCAGCACATCAACATTAGCTGGATCAACAATGAAGTCAGCTGTTGTGTCTCCAGTAAATGCTATCTCAGGGGATGTAGTTGTTGTGGTAATCTGCCAATTTAGAACCAATCCATCAGACAGAAATATGCAGAAGGCAGCAGAACCAAATGCATAAGAAAGAAGTATGCTAAGTTGCTGTCCACTTATGCATTTGCATAGCTTGTGTTTTGAAACTATTCTAGCTCTACAGGGTTGGTATTGAGGGAAAGGCAGAGGGGGATACAAGAAGCAAGAACAGTCTAATCCTAAGACTTTGAAAGGCACAGCACATCACAAGAAGGCGTCAAATATGTACCTTCAACTGCAACTGTGACAAAATGTGTACAATTATCAAATTAGGAAGGACTAAGAAAAACAATTCCAGCTAAATTAATGCTCTATCTGACCCTTAAGATACCAAGTACCAACAACAGAAAAAAGAAGACCACAAGAAAGTAAGCAATCAATTAAAATTAAGGAAAATCGCCAATTAAAGAAGGAAAAACGATTTGGTTTTCACAAAGATTTGGTTTTTTGGGTTGAGTTTTTGCAAAGAATAGGAGAGTTGGTTAATATATACGAGGATGAGGATGGTTTTTTGAGGGAAAATAACAAATGGACCCCATTCGCCGGAATTAGTTGCCGGAAAATGAAAAAGGGTAATGCTACCCAAACTTTTTACATTTGGGGTAGTTTTTTTTATAAAACATTTTAGCGAGTAGTTGTTCACAAATTGACCTGTTAAGCAAGTAGTTCCATACAATTTTTCCGAAAATACATTTAAAATTCAGAATCTTATTATGTTTGTCTGTCAATCACAGACTATATCCACCTGGACATATGACTAAATGGTTGCATGGACCTCAATAGATGGATACATCTAAAGTAAGGAAACAATTCCAAAACAGATACAAAGTATCATTTATCCCTTACATAGTCCAAAATTCTCTTCCCATCATATATTCCAACTAATTACAGATATGAACCGAGAACAGGAAACTTAATGTGTCATAAATGAACAAGCTAACTTTTTGAATAACAGTCTACCCTATCACAGTATACGCAACAATTGTCACTTTGATAACACAACTACCAAACATACCTCCACACCTTTATCCTTCAAAGCCTTGATCTCTTTTCCAGGAAGACCAATGAAATCCTGCTTAAGCTTGTGCTTAACTGAATAAACTACATATCCCTGCAACATATCATATGAATGAACAAAGTATACTTGGTTTATAGCTCGAGGATATCTTTGACCCACACAAATGAGCTCTTAAAAGGGGATATGACTAAAAAGGGAGTACTTGGTACCTGACTGGGAATGACATGATATGTCTTAAATGCTTTAACTTTGAGATCCCTCCTAATATAGAATTCTTCTCCTGAAAATTATACAAATAAAAAGTTTAAGCACAGTAATTGAGTAGAAACAGTTGGCATGATCATTGAAGAGAACAAGCTTGGAGGGAGTTATATACAATGAAAATGTGGATCTAATACGAACATTACCCACGTCTAGACCAACTAAATTATTCTTCAGCTCAGATTGGTCCATTGCTCTGTGTACATTAAAAAGCCTTTCCACATCCTCTTTTATAGCTTTAGGCACAAAAATTGTAGGAGGTTTCATAGAGAACAATCCACGAATCGCAACATACATCGGTAATCCTCCCTGATATACACATCACATAACACAGTACATTTAGTATTTAGGAGATGGACACAACTCACAAAATACTCCATAGTAGGTCTACCTGAAAGAGCATATGGCAAAAAAAAAAAAAAAAAAAAAAAAATCATTTTCAGAATTCAGTATCAACAAAAGAAACTATCCATTACTTTGTTTACTCATCAACAGATGATTGAAGAGACAATCTGTACCATTTGTTATACAATAACTTGAACGACAGAGGCACGGGGAAGAGAGTAATATACATCCTTAAAACAGAACACAGTAATTCAGTAAACATTTTATTAAAAATCTCCACATCACTGTTACTCAACTCAAGAATTTCATTGAAACTTCTATACAAATCTCAAACAGTTCCCATTGCAGTGGTTCTACATACCAAAATTCTCAATAATTATAAATGATACATAACCCAGAAAATACTCCAAAACCTAGAATACGATAATAGCAAAAACTTCTCATAAAAATAACCAAAAATCAAACTAATTTAAAAACAAGGAAACCCATAAAATAGTCCCCCCCCCCCCCAAAAAAAAAAAAAAAAAAAAAAAAAAAAAAAAAAAAAAAAAAACAAGATTATGGCTAAATTTCAGTTTTAAAAAAAAATCGACAAAAGTAGCCAAAAATCGAAAAAATTCAAACACGCGAAAAACCCTTGAAATACAACAAAATAAAGATTATAAAGAGAGCAGAAGAGAAGACATACAATGTGGTCCATATGACCATGGGAGATAAAAAGGAAGTCTTGAGAAATGGCGCGTTGAGGGCACCTTCCGATATCGAAAGCGAGGTTGAGAGAAGGGAAGATAACGCATGTTTCTTGGCCAGCGATTGATAAACCCTCAATTTGATAGCCTTGTATATTTATTCCTCTTTTCTTCTTCTTTGTTGCTGAGTTTGCTTCAGAGTTCGACTCGTCATTCTTCGGCTCCATTGACATATCTGATACTATTGAACACCTTCTTTACCGCTGTTCCAAGGCTCTCTCTCTCCTCCCTTCCTCTACTTCTTCCACCACCGTAGAAAAGAGTGAAGATAAAAGGTGGGTACTGGACTTTGGTACTGCCTGATTGTTACCTCTTGTAACTGGTTACCAAGCATTAATTATTCTACAAAAAATAAAATTCTGAATTTTAAGTACAGAATGTCAGAATGTTTTTGGGAATATTGCAATCATATAACATTGAATATTGCAATCATATAACACTGAATATTTAACCAAAACAGCAGCTATCTTCAGCAAAATAATCAAATTTCAGTACAAAAATAGCGTTTATTCTGACCCTAACCTAAATTACCAACACAATTTTCATCAAAGTTTCAATTTTTAACACAGAATCAAAACAGAAAAGTTTCAATTATGTGCAAAGCTGAAGGAAAGCAAATCGGCAATGAAAATTCAGTATAAAAAGCTATTAAATGTAACCTCGACCATAAAATTGAATTATCAGCCCAATTTTCATCATTTTTTTTTTAATAAATCTCAAATTTTGATGGCCAAATTTTATCAAGAACAAAAATTGCATGATAAAAGTATATGTAAATAAATATGTAAAAAAAAAAAAAAAAAAAAAAAGAGAGAGAGAGAGAGAGAGAGACTGTAGAGCATTCATAACCATCATAATTATACTAGTGTAATTATTCATAGGAAATTAATTACCAACCTCAAATTGACTAACATAAGTTCAAAACTATCAATTATGCACAAAACAATGATCCCAATACACACAAATGAATTAAAAACTACTCCGTATCAATTATACATCAATCATCAATTAAAAAACCCAACAAGCAAGAATCTAACTCCGCAATCAATCATTCAATTATATTTCAAATTGGCAATTATCAATTAGATTAAAAACTAGTAAATTGAAATTACAGAGCAGGACCACCAGGACTGGGTTCAAGCCTTCAAGGACTCACAATGTGTCTGCCGGGCTCAGGCGAGTGGGCGACTGTGCGTCTATGCAGCAGGCAGCAGGACTGGCGGAGGGCGGCAGCCCGGTGTCGTGGGCGGTGCGCGCGGCGCGTTGAGGTCCTTGAGAAGTTGAGCTAGACAGAAAGTTGAGTTGAGAGTTTAGGGGAAAATGAGAAAATGGGGAGTAATTTATTAACCATGTAATTATTTATTTATTTATTTATCTATTTATTTTTATTTTACATAATTAACCTTGTCTTGTTGCGTGAGAAATTGTATCAAACTGTCCCTTTTTTCATGTTTTTTCGAATTCGGATTTTCGTAGGACGCAACCCCCAACCCACGGGGTAATTTGAAATGACTGAATGTCTTTATAACAAAATTGAAGCTTCGAGGGATCGAACCTTGATCTCCAATAGCCAATTACAACTGAGATGCGCACCAACATCTTGTTCTATTTTCTCCAACCCTTCAAAAACCAAAGTATGTGTGCCACCCTATTCACCAAAACACATCCAGATCCGACTAGAGTCACACACCTGATTTATGGTGGGTGAGTCTCCCAATAAGAGTTTTTGCATACATTGAGACTTGAACCCGAGACCTCCCTAGACGATATCAATTTGCTTACTAATTGAGCCAACTCTTGTTGGTAGAGTATGTGCTATTGCTCAAAGGAATAGTGTACACCCAAAATTACCCTTAACTCTAAGTTTGACGAAATTGCACTTGCGATCTTGGTCAACTTCTTGTGATTGACTTTGAACAATAAGAAAGTTGCTTAATTCAAATTTCCTCACAATCATTCATTTGTTTAACTACATTTCCCATAAAGGTGATCAACAACGGCTCCAACCGTTAGCCCGACGCGATCCGGCTTGAAAATAGGGCGGGTTGGGGCAAGCCTAAAATGCAATTTTAGTTAAAAACTCAAACCCAACCTGTTTGGCCAGATTATCCTGCTACTTTTTTTCGGATTTGGGCATGAGATATAATGTTTTGGGCCGGCACAAACCTGTAAAACCCTGTATTTTTATATGCTTTATAAATTAATTTAATATTTTATACTTCCTCCGTTACAAAATAATTACAACACTTTGAGCGACACACGCGCCAATGCACAACTTTGACCATTGATAATTGTAATTATATACTACTAAGAAGTATAAAAGCTTGATCTAATGAAAATATCATAAAAACTAATCTAAATATATTTTACATAACAATATATGTTTTATATATATTAATAAAAAGTATAGTCAAAGTAAGTATGTGAATAGTGCAAAAGTCAAAGTGTTGCGATTATTACGAAATGGAGGGTGCAAAGGTATTTTATTATTTTATAAAATAATTTTTGTAACATTTATTTATATTTAATTATATGAAAGTGATTTTAAATAAAAACTCGTCAATTAACTTATTAAAATCATTTTGAAAGCATTTTATATTAATATTTAAATACTGGTGCAAGTTTAATAATTTAAAAAGGATTTTAAAGTCAACATGTTTGAATTAAAGTTAACAACCTATTTTGAATAGGAAAATGAGTCATTAGAACATCATCAATGGTAGTACTCTACTCCCCTACTTTTTCACTCTCTCTCCTCTTCTCCTTTTGACACATTGTCAACTTTTTCCGATACCTCACTTTCTATTATCTACATTCTCTTCATCTTTCTCCTCCTCTATAATATCCCACAACAAAAGCAACGCATCATCACATCGCCTACCTGTGATGGAAATGGCTGGACCATCACAGGGGCAGGACGGTCATTTCACATGTTTTGAAATTTTGAAATAAAAGCTCAGCAGATGCCCCTAATAGGTCAAACCTGATTATCCAACTCATGTCCCGTTGCTTATGTGGCGGGGCTAATTCCTAGTCAGATAAGTATGTTGCTTTACACTTAATTTAGGGTTCTTCGACAATTTCCCCAATTCAATACTTAAGGTGAATTTAGGGTTCTTTGACAATTTCCCCAAATCATTCCTTCGTTGCTCAATCACTCGTTGTTCGTCTTCGTAATTAGGGTTGTTCGTGGAAAAGGAAGTAAATGATCCTTCTTCCAAGCTCAAATTAGTTGAATTAGGGCTTTTCTTTGCGAAAGGAATAACGGTGGTCGTAGAGAAATTCGCAAAGGATTCAGGTATTCTACGTTTGAATTTGAATAAATGGTTTGATTTAGCATTTGGTTTCTATTTAACTAATATAGTTAGATATAGCGTTTGGTTTCTATTTAAGTAATGTAGTTTAATTGAACTTGTTAATTGAATCCTGAAGTTAATAGGTATAAAACAATACGAAATCAACTAATTTTACGATTTATGCAAACTGTGAGCATGGTATAGGATATTAAGCAACTAATTTTTTAATAGGGTATACATGCATGTAAATTGAAACCAAGTTGATGAGGTTTAATGCAATATTTAGTGAAGTTTACTAAGTTAATTATGTGGTTAGAGGCTGCATTTATTCAAAACAAAGTAATTGAAGTATTCTTATTTTCGCCTGTGCTTTTGTAATTAAATTATGTGGTTTTGTGTTCTTTGTACTTGGTTGATGTTGTTCATTGTATTGTTGTGTGAACTATATTGATGTTCTTCTCCGTATTGCTTAATATTAAAAGAGAATGGGAAGACACGGTGGTCGTAGGAATTTAAACCATGTTCGAGGAGAAGAATCATCTACTTCAAAAGTTGTGAAGAAAAGAAAAAGGGTTGAATATGATGACTTCTATGGTATTTATGACAAATCTGATTCGAGTGAAGATAGAAGTGGCTCTCAAAATTCCTCTCATTCTTCTTCCCATAATTCTAAGGATGACAGAAGAAGGAAACACCAACATAAATCTAAGGTAAAAGTGAAAGACAATGTAGTCTATATAAAAGACAATTGATTAGGGGATTTTCCCCAGCAAATCATCATCTGACACGTGGACCATTCAGGTCCTGCCATGTGTCCGCCACATGGACCAGTTGGAGTCTGCCACGTGACAAGCGATGATTAGTCCACCTTGGACCAGTTGCGCCACGCCATGTGGCCTCCCCTATGCCAAATGGGCAAAAACGGCCACCTAGGCCCAATCTTCGGAAGAAGCCCAATCAGCCCTAGGTTGACCTAAACCTAGGACTGGCACGCTTCCCAAGGCATATAAATACCCTCATTAATCCTCATTAAAGGGGGTTAAGAAATTAATTACACTCACCTAGAGAACCTAAACACCTAGATCACTCCTCACCTAGGGGAACCTGATCTTCCAACCTTTACTTTTCCGCACTATTCACTCCTCAAACAGGTACTAACTTGATCCTCGGAAGCGGAACTCCCACCACAAGGAGTCTCCGTTGCTTTGCAGGTACAGGCGCAAGGATACCAGTCCCGGAATTGTAACTCTCCCGCTGGACATTAGAAAACCCCGAAACAACAATATTTTTAAGCTGATTTGGCTTTGTAGTTTTGGTTAATTTGGGTTTTTAATGTGCTAATTACTTGATTTGGCTATGTAAGCTGATTGAACCGAGCTAAAGGGAGATTGTGAAGGCTAGGTATGATGTTGTTGCTACACAAGCGAGGAAGTGTAGTAAGGTAAGGTGTATATTGTTTATTTGTTTGTTAATTTCATAAATGAGTTGACATTCTTAATTACAGAATGAAATCCTTTTCTGTGTTTGTTTTGATTGCACTGTAGGGTCCTATTGTGATATTCGGGTTGATATGTTTTACTCAAGGGTAATCAAATCGCTAGATCGAAGCATGAAGGAGGAAGTAATATAAAGTTGATGGGTTTTGGTGGGCTGTTGAAGTTGAAGTTATTAACTTATTTTCCAAGGCAGTTTTGTTATTGGATAATGTCAAGGATTCAAAGTTGCGGTTCGATAGAATTTGGTGCTGAACAGGTAATGTTGTTGGCCCCAATACAACTTCAATGTATATTGGGGTTGCCAATGGAAGATAAAGAAGTTCCTTTGAAGGTAGATAGGGATTATTCTGTGATGAAGAAGAAGTTGGGTGATATTATAAAGGATTGTAGGGCTGGAGGGAAAGACGGTGATTCACCGTCTTTTGAGAAGGCAATAGGGGTTGTTACTAAGGAGTTGGATGAGGATGGGAATGAACTGCCTGTTGTTAATGATGCAAAGAGATACAGTTCAAGATTGCCTTTCTTATTGTTGTTGTGGGTGCCATATTGTGTCCCACAACAAAATGGGGCCTCTTGGCGAAGAAGCTTACGTACACCAGCTATTACAATTGCTCGGCATTCGGCCAAGTACGATTGGTGCACCTTAGTATATAATTGTTTTATGGATTGTGTTAAGGTGTTTGCGGATAAGTTTGATGAGAATGGGTTTGTTGTAGGTTGTGGTGGCTGCTCGTTGTTTGTATAGGTAAGTAAATTTTGTTAATTCACTTAGATGTACTCAAAGATGTTAGATTTTTAATCATATGCTTTACAATGTTGATTTTATCTATCTTGACCATCTACATCGACCTCCTGGTGGGGTGTTTTACCAAGAATAAAGGTGTGGACGCCGGCCGAAATGTCCAAGGCTATGAAAGAAGACAAATGGAAGACGTCTGACGATTATAGAAAGCTGAAGGTTTATGCTTTTGCTTTTTTTTTCTTTAATTACACTTGGTTTAATTTTTATTTTAGAACTTTAAAAAAAAATGAAATGTTGTTCCAGTCTGTCCTAGTTGCATATGGAGAGGAGGATTATCCATGTACAGTCCGAGACTCGTCTAAGACATTAGTGCGTGCAGAAGGTGGCTGCTGTAACGTAGCAACATATATAAGCAGTTTCGTTGTTTGTTATGTGTATAAGTTATAGGTAATTGTAGGTATTTTATTTTTTCTGGTTTTTTTCATCTTATTTTTGTAATTGTAATTGTAGGTAGTGAAGCTATTAAAACCTCAATTGGAGAGGATGTTCACTGATGCATTGAGGAATGAGGTCCAAATCTCTGAGGCATGAGTCTAGAAGAAGCAAGTCAAGGCGGTATGTTCGAGTTATATCTGATGATGAGGAGATTGAACCTAGTTAAGTGTTTCAAATCATTAAGGACAACCCTCAGCTTTCTAAATCTCAGGAGGACCACCCTGAGAAGTCTAAATCTCATGAGGAGGAGAACTCTCCCGAGAATGAGAAATCTAAGGATGAGGAGAGAACTCATGAGGAGGAGTGATCTGAGAAGAAATCTCTTGAGAAGGAGAAATCTGAAGGGGAGGAGAGATCTCCTGAGGAGAAGAGATCTCCTCATAAGGAGAGATCTCATGAGCATGCATTGGCGGATCTAGGATTTCGAGATGGTGAATCACCATCAATTATTGATCGCTTGTGAAATGAAGTACAAATTTGTTTTCCAAATCTTGTTCATAACTAATTTCAATCCAAAAATTATATGTATAAAAAAAAAATTATATTTCACCAAATTGATTTCAATCCAAAAATAGGACACAAAA